CCAGAAGACCACGCTGCTTGGTCTGACGAGTCTCAGTTTCTGCTGTGACATTTGGAATGTAACATGACGGCATGGATCCGTCCTGCCTTATATCAACAGCTCAGGCTGCTTGTGGTGATGTAATGGTATGGTGGATTGTTTCTTGGGACACTTGGTATCAAATGAACATGTTCAAAGGCCGCAGCCTACATTAATATTGTTCCCGAGCACGTCCATCCTTTATGACAGCAGCGTACTCATCTTCGGACGCCTGCTTCCAACAGGATCGTTCGCCATGCCACAAAGTTCAATTCAACACAAACTAGTTTCTTGACCATGACAATGTTAAGAAATCAGCCTCCACAGTCACCAAAGCTCATTTTGACACTTAGGTTTCGGTTTTTATTTAAATCAACTCAACTACACTGTATGCTTTGTTTCACTATATTTCAGTAAAGGATCATTTTAAAATCACAGCACATTTAGTTGGAAAAATGTAGGATGTGTTATGTCTTACCTTAGTCTCTACAAGATGTTTGATATATATTTATATGTATATATGTATGTATATATATCAAGAATCATGGGAACGGACCCTTTAAAAGACTGTAACCTATCCTGCAGGGTAAGAGCCAGGTTAAACAGCTGTACAAGCATTATGATTTTTACAATGAGATCTCTGGAATCTGGCTGCAGCTATTAAATCCTATGAAACGCAGCACGGGCCAAATCTTCTTCTTGGTATGCATGCTTATGTGTGTATACGTGCCTGCATGTGTCTGTGTGTGAGAGAGTACATTTATACACGCTCCAGTGGATTTGTTTCCAACGTCTAATTCCCTGACTGGTTCCAGAGAGGGTAAGTTGCTCAAATGTAGCATTTCATTTCAGTCCTCCCACAGCTGTGACTCTGAGTTCTATACTTTTTTATTTTTTAAATCATCCTTTAAAAACAACAACTAAAAGAAACAGTCGGTCACTTTGAATAACTTAAAGGTTTGCGCTGTTCTGCTGCGGCCGCAGCGCACTCTCCTGTGACTGGCATGTTTACCGAACGCTGTAATGGCATCATTTTCTGCTATGCTGCACTCTTCAGCAAAGCAGAACAGTTTGTTTTATTTCAGAATGGCAGGAGGTTATACAAGGAAGTCATGCTGCAGCAAGAAAGCCGGCATCCCTGGGTACATGTCAAAGTTTCCCACCCGAGATATATTTAGGCACAAAACGGGAACATTTAATGAATATGCAAAGAAAAGCGTCTGGACTTCTTTAAGTTACTTGAAGACGTTTCACCTCTCATCCGAGAAGCTTCTTCAGTTCTAAGGTCAAATGGTGGAG